TTTCTCAAAAATATTATTTGGCTTAAACTCTTCTAAACTTATTTTAGTTAGCTTATCAGCACATCTATTAGCTTTTCTACAAACACGAGTAAATTTGACAAAAGAAAAACTTTTAACAAGTCCCTAATCTTACTAATCAAGAGAAAATAAGGATGAGATATCTCTTAAAACTTAACAATGAGAGAGATTGATTTTTTGGAGCCACTTTTAATGCACACACTTTGGAAGTCCTTCTTTAAGAGCAACTGAACCCCTAACAAAATAGCCCTTAGTTAAAAAATAATAGGTGGACATAATTCAATAACATAAGAGAAGCTAGCTAAAAATTGACCACGGATATCCCTGGCAAGGCCTCCACATGCTGCTGATTGTGAGAAGTTGAAAACAACCCTGTCGACATTGAGCTTGACCTAACCAAAGCTTGGAAAAATCCATTTTAATTAGTATTGATTAGAGATCAAGCTAGAGATGGATTTGATACTATTCCTACAACTAAAAGAATAGAAGCCAAATCAGAGTTTATTTTCTTAACTAGGATATTTGACTGGATAAAGCAACTTTGAAAAATAAAAGCATTCCTATCCTTCCAAATATACCACACAATCACACCAAAAAGTCTATTGCATCCATGCAATTTACTAAAACTAGAAGTAGAAAGATTCAATCTCAACCGGTTAGACAAACTATAGTTGAAAAAAGGAACATTTTAGCTAGGTAAAATAAACAAATTTCAAACAGTATTAGCATAAAAATAATCTCTAATGACATACATGATGGTTTCCATGGCCTCACCACATCTAGGACAAGTTGGGTTATCAGTCATTTCTCTCCTGAACCTTTCTTCATTAGCGAACAGTTTACCATTAGCTAATTTCTACAAAAAGAATTTTATGGTAGGGAAACCATTCCAATTCCACCCAAAGTTAAAAATATCATAGGATGGATTAGTTGGCTAAGACTTAACAATGATCATCTAATAAGCTGACTTAATAGAAAACATCCTATTATTATTAGGGTGCCAAAAGAATAAATCATGACCTTTATCCATAATAGGGGGTTGATCTGAGCAATATATTATTGACAAACCTTCACATAAAGCATAACATTTAGTCTATCACATTCCCAATTATTCCCTTTAGTGAATAAACAAACAGGAAGATTAAGATCTTCATATAATAGGTTCACAATTTAAAAATAGAAGATAATAAAAATCCTAAAAGTCTTACTCATAATGATAAATAATTAGATTACACCAAATTTAAAATTTGAAAAGATATCATTCTTTAAGGAAAGAGATATATTAAATGATAACCACTTATTTCCTAGAATAAATTTGTAACTTGCTCCTTTATTTCAGTCCAAAATTTGCATCCATTTGGCTTCATGGTCATCAAAGCTTAAGGTGTTAGCTTTCAAATATCATTTGAATGAATCCAATTAAATATTTGTGGATCGAGATATAGCCCCAAAAATTGCACACTTGTCTGCATTTATCTCTTTTCTTTGCCAATTTAAGCCCAATTATGATTTAAAACATTAGGATTCAACCTTCTATTTATTCATTAGAGTTGTAGATTCATAAAATGAGATCTAGAGTCCAAGTTATAACCTAAATACTACATAACAAAAGTGGTCTAAATCAATTTAATTAGCAAAAAAGAAGGTTAATGTACTAAATATGAAGAAAAAAATATAAAAATTCAACTTTGTTAAACTAGTACTGACCAAACAACAAAAAATGCACAACTCATAGGTCAATTCGAACATTGAGTAAAATAAATTTAAAAATGTCATTTTTAGATGGTTGAAAATGATCAAACATGAATTTAATTTTCTTAAATCTCTAGTACCTAACCTTACCATTTATATTTATTTATATTTTAAATACTAGCCAAGGCCATTGACAAAAAACAAAAGTCCAGGCCCATGTTTCATTTAAACTTTCACTTAACCCTAGTTTCACTACATTGAAAGTCTATTACGCAATTCTATGTTGCTGCTCTTAGCCTTTTACCTTTGTGATCTAGGCTCTTCCTTCTTCTTTTTTTATTTCTTCTCTTGCCTCTACAACTTCCTACTTCCTATGTGACTTCATCTCTTACCTATGTAACTCTAGCTTTGTGACTTTTGTTTCTATTTTCTTGTTTCAAATAGTGAATTCTATAACTTTCTTTAACATATATATTTTTCATCTCTTATGTGGATGTGAGTCCTTAGTTACCATATAAGTTTTTTTTTTACTTAAATCTTCACTTATTATTTTTAAAATTTTTATAGTTGGAATCAATCCATACTATTACTATTATCGATTTACATTAATTATAGGTTCTTACTTATGAATTCAACCAACACTCACCCTAATAGAACCAATTTATATAAAACTCATCCAATTCTGACTAATTTTATTGATTCAAGGCCAATTTAGTAGTTCAAAGGCTAATTCTTGAAGTATTATTTATAAAGGGTCAACCAAGCCAATTCTTAGTGGGACTAATCGAACTGGCAGGTCTAGTTTTTAGAACTATGGTGAAGAATCAAGTGCTATAAAAATAAGATCGAGTTATAATACATGTATTTTCTCAACTAAGTTTAGATTGTTTTATTCTTTTAAAATTATAATTGGTTAAATATATATTTGATTTCTATGATAGGATCCATTGACATCAGGTGTAAGTCTAAAAGACTTACACCAAATTCCAACCATACAAATCAAATAATCTAACAGTTGAAAATTTAACTCTTTTTATTATTATTTTTTTACATATTTTTCAGGTAACTTTTCAACTGTTAGATTATTTGATTGTACGATTGGAATTTAGTGTAAGTTTAAAAGTCTTTTAGACTTACACCTAGTGTCAATAGATCCTATTCCTTAATTTCTATATTTTACATGTTTATGAATTTATTTCTATACTTAAGAATGAACTTACAAACCTTATACTTAAAAAAAACTTATGCTTCATTCCCTATATGGGTATTTTGTTATGTGTTGGTCCATTCCATTATTAATGTTGTTATAATGATATGGACTAAAATATAAAAAATATATTTATATAGGGACTAAAATAACTTTTTTAAGTATAGAAACTATTTTAAAATGATAGCTTGACACTATATACTCCGTTGGAAAGTTAGTTTTTGGAAGAAAGGAGACAAAGAGAGAAAAAAAAATGATTATTTAATAAAAATTTTTGTTTAAGAAATTTTAGAAGAGATAAAGAGAGATTTTATATATCTTCCAAAATTCTCTTAACTCTATGCTTTTAAGTTTCTGAATATAGGTGATTTTTTTATTAACCATCTTTTCTTCTTCCCTTATTATATTCTTCTATATAATAATAATAATAATAATAATAATAATAATAATAAATAATTTAAAATATATCGTTTGTATTGCTTTGATTTTAGAAATATAATATGTCAAGATTTGTTAACATGTAACTTTTAAAAATGTTGAACTTGCTAATGGATTTATTCTTTATAAACCCAATTTGTATAAAATATTTTGTTAATATTTAATTGTAAGAAAACAGACAAATGATATACAAAATAATCAAAATATGTGCTTTTAAAAATACTACAGTTGTTTTAATGTTTTTTTTTTAAATATTATTATAACGATGCTTAAAATTAATTTTTACATATAATTTGTGAGTAAAAATTTTAAAACAATCTTTTAAGAACTCAATAAATAATATTTTTAGGAGTTTATTCTCCTTTTCATCGTGTTCATGCAAAGTAATTAATATAAAATAATAAATTTAAAATATTTTAAAATCACTTAATCTAAAACTTTATAAAAAAAATAGAATTGTACCTTATCTCTACGTTCATATATGTAAAGTACATGTTATTAATTTTAAAATATAAATAAAAGAAGTACACCATCATTTAACTGCAACGGTAAAATATTGTAGAATATGTATAAGTTATCTTAAATGAAATGAAAGTGTTTTTAATTAATAGTCATTATATTTTTAACTATGTTACATAAACTTTCTTGCATTTAATATTTAATTTTAATTTTAATTTAATACGTGCAATTTAATTTTTTTACTTAAAAATTAACATCTTTAATATAATTTTATTTATTACAATAAATATTAATTATCATAATAAAAGTATTTACTTTTTAAATTTTATTAAATTTAAAAAGTTATATAATATATTTTTTATTTTAAAAAGTTCATTTAATAATAAATATACATCGCAATTTTTTTTTTACTAATATAAAGTCGTATACATGTATGAAGAAAAAATAAATTACACGCAAGTTATATTAATAATATTGTTAAATAATATTTTATTGAATAATTTTATTTTAAAATCAATCGTTAAATTAAAAGATTTTATCACAAAGAGTATGTTTAGAAAAAAAATTATATTAATTTAAAATTAATTAATATATTATTTATATATATTAATATTAATATAATATATATCTAAAATATATAAAAATAAATATAATTTAATTATTTAATTTTAATAAAATTTTAAATAAAAATTCAAATTTTATATAAAATTATTAACATATTATTGTTGGTGTAATTTAAATTAGTACAATTTAATATTTTTTTCATTTTTTGAAAGTTATAATAAAAACAACGTTTTCATTAATTTTTTATATATCCTTTTCTATATATAAAAAACAGTTCTATAATTATTTATGTCGAACCATAACCCTATAAAAACGTTTGAACGAATTTCATTCACATTTTATAAGTTTTAATAAACTTGTATATAATAACATTTGTTTTTTTTTATATTATTAAGATTTTTTTATTCATGTAATTACACAATAATCTAAGAAAAAATATGATTAAAAAACCAATATTATATTATATAAATTTAAAAATTATGTAAAATAAAAAATAAGGATATCAAAGTTTTTTTTATTAATTTCAGGGGAGTGAGTATAATTTTTTTCAAATTGTTTTAAAATACCACTTAAACTTTTTCATTTTTTTTATTATAAAAATGGCAACGCTATTATTATTATTATTTGATTATTGATTTTCCGATTGTTTCCTGGTCTGACCCAGCTTGGGTGTTCTCTCTAGAGAGTGCATTTGTATCGTAATATCGGCATTGTAGACAGCAGAAACCGCGAGATGGAGCCTAAAGCGATGACTTCCCAAAACCAAAATGGCCAACAGAGCCAGCAACAGCAACGTACTCGTCGATGCTCACTTGCTTCCGTTCATTATTTTCCCTCTTCAATTTTTCTCCGCAGAGAAAACAAATTGGATTACCTCTCCTAATTTAACTCTGCTCCTTATTCGATTTCGTTTTCAATAATAATAATTTGGCAAACGCAGGTGAAAAAGTTACCGAAGTGGGGTGGTACGTTCTTGGCGAGGATCAACAACAGCTCGGCCCTTACGCTTTCTCAGAGTTGCGCGGTGAGTTCTTTAATACTTTCTTTTTTTCTTTTCTGAAAATCTTCTGTGTTTGAAATGAACCAAGTGGAGTGGAGCTAGGGTTGAGTCTTGTGTAATTTGATTCTTGTTCTTGGTTTTGAAATGAAATTTATTATAAGTGAATACTGAGACACCACTGTTTCAGAGTTTGAGCACACCCTCTATTTGTCATATTTACTTGGAAATTGGCATGGACAGAGCATTTCTTGAATGGATACCTCTTCGAAAATTCGTTTGTGTGGTCTGAAGGAAGGAGTGAGTGGCAACCCTTGTCCTTGATTTCTGACCTGTGGGCTCAAATTAGTCAACAGGGACCTGATTCTTCAACTGCAGGTATAGCTTTTCTTATCTATCTTTTATGATTTTAATTTTTCTTTATTTTTTTTTGTTGTTGTTGTTTGTGGAGCTTAGAGCGTGACCTGTTGTGCAGTGTCTGCCCATGATGTTGATGAGTTTGAAAGATGGCAAAAGGAGATTAAGGAGGCTGAGGCACAGGTGGAAGGTTCAGTATTTGGAGGGTTTTCTGGCAATGTTGACGGTAGTGTAGCAGGAGCAGATTTGGAGAGACCTTCAACGCCACCTGAGGGTGAAGAAGAATTTATTGATGATGATGGGACTAAGTATAACTGGGACAGGAATCTTAGGGTTTGGGTTCCCCAGGTTGGTGGATTTGATTACCTCACTTTTTTGTTTGGTTTTTGCCTGACTGACACATTTTGTTTTCTGAGAATTATGAGGTGTTTTCAGTTTCCTTTTATTTTTAGTACTCAAGTAAAAATGTTGTATTTTTTAACCTTGAGGTTTGTTATACTTATTTGTGTTTGCATATGTATCCATGAATAATCATCCCCCTATTCACCTCAATAATGTCATTGTATTTATTCTTTGGGCCAAGGTAGTTGATTCTTGAATCTATTTTTCATTGAGTTTTTCTTCTTCTTCTAATGAGTGGGATTAATGAAGTTGTTATCTGATAGGAGTATACAGCTGGCGACAATGAGTCTTATGGGGTTGAAGACATGACCTTTTTGCAAGAAGAGGAAGTTTTTCCAACAATAACTGATCCTGAAGCCTCTGAAAAGTTTGAAGATAGTTCAAAATTGAGCGTTTCTGCAGATTCCTTAAAGGAAGAAGCAAATGAAGCAAATAATACCAATGTAGTAGTGGATGGAAAGAGGAAGCATCCGGATAAACAAACTGACAAGAAGGTGCCCCTTCTCTTTCATCTTGTCTATATCAATGGTTAAACCCTAATCCATTTTTCTTTATCTTTGTTGATTTGACTTGAAAATGAGTACCCCTTTTGGTGAACAAATGGCTCTTCCCTTGATCTCATTCTGTTTCAGGAAGCTAATAAACCTCCTGATAGTTGGTTTGAATTAAAGATCAATACACATGTTTATGTCACTGGGTTGCCTGAGGACGTTACCACTGATGAAGTAAGCATCAACTTTTCTCTCAATTTTCCTGATCATAGTTCTTGTTGCAATAATTAACATGGATTATATATTATTGTAGGTTGTGGAGGTATTTTCCAAATGTGGAATAATAAAGGAGGTATCTTTTTATTCCTATATTATATATTATATATTCAATTGTAAAATTATATAGAATTAATAAATAATTCATGACATATATTAGTTTTTTGTGTTTAGATGTATCTTAAAAATATGTCATAATTATGTTAGACTAGGGAAACACTATTGATACTGTATAAATTAACGGTTCAATTACAATGGCTCTATGATGTTGCCAAAAGAGCTTGGGTTAACATTTTTACACATGGAAGAATAATATATGTTGCACCTCGTGCTTTCCCTTTTTTATGCTTTCATGTGGGTTTTGGTAGTAAGCCTTGTATTTGTGAGGAGAATTTGGAGAGCCTGTCTATCCCTTTTCTGAGCACTTGCTAGTTGCCGAGACCCTAACCAAAAATGAATCACAAAGGCAGGCCAAGCAACTTTTGCAAGTTAGTTCTCACTAACAGTGTTTACAAGTTACAAAAGGCTATTCTTTTAAAAATGTTCATTATGGGGTGACAATCTGTCCATACTTGTAAAAAAGGAAGATAGTCTATTTGAGTCTATGGTGTGCTTCATATGAATGCGAGATCATGTTTGTAATAGGACCCAGAAACTAAAAGGCCTCGTGTGAAGCTCTATGTCGATAAAGAGACAGGGAGGAAAAAGGGGGATGCCCTGGTTACATATCTTAAGGTAACTCTTTCCCTTATTGTTCTGCCTGTGACATTTAGTTGTGAATGTAACATGGTTGCAATTATGTTTGCATATGCTAGGAACCATCGGTGGCTCTGGCAATTCAGATATTGGATGGAACACCTCTTCGCCCTGGTGGCAAGATTCCCATGTCTGTCACCCAGGCAAAATTTGAGCAGAAAGGTAATCTTAATGAATTTTTAATATTTCATGTGGCAGTTTCTGATAATTGTTATTAAATATGGTCATTTGGTAAGCCCATGTCTTGAATTAATAATTTATTTATTTACTATGCCAGTATGCTTGCTGTTGCTTGATGGTGCTTTCTTTAAATATGCAGGAGACAAGTTTGTATCCAAGCAAGTAGACAATAAAAAGAAAAAGAAATTGAAAAAGGTGGAAGACAAAATGCTTGGATGGGGTATGTGTGGCCTCTCAATTTTTTTAAGTTGACGTTTCTGCAATTTGATTGATTCCAATTCTATCTTTATTTTAGCGTAAATTCCCTTTTTCATTTAATTTTCTTCAAATTGAAGTCCAATATTGATTCACCTTCTTCTATAAATATTTTCACAAGAAGTTACTATATGTTGCCAATGGGTCAAGTCTTTACCTGTTTCAATAGATCCTTGGGTTTGCTGAGTGCAATTTGGAGCTATCTAATTAATGTCTCATAAATGTGTGTAAGTCTTTGATTGGTGGAGGTGTTGCAAATGTTGAAAATCATCTAAAAAGCATTCTGCTAGAATGTATTTATGTTGTCTGGTCTGCTTTTGATGATGGTGAACCTAGAATGCATGCTATGCTCATGTATATAATCAAAATCTTTTTCAATCTCTGTAGTATGAGAAGTTTAGATTTGTTGACTGATTTGAGATTTTTAGGTTTAATTTTGAACTTTAAAGTTGATTTTCTTATTTACCATGCATTGCTCATTGTAATGTGTTTCTCATTGTATGGATCAGGTGGTCGTGATGATGCAAAAGTTTCAATTCCAGCAACTGTTATCCTTCGCTTTATGTTCACTCTAGATGAAATGAGGGTTGGTGTTACTTTTGCATGTTTTCTGGATACAATTATCACACTAGAAACTTACTATATTAGTGGCCATACTTACCCCTCAATTTGGAAATGGTTATATAGGTCATAGATACAAACTGATTCTGAAGTATTTTTATGTTTTTTAAAATTCTCATGTACATATTTAGAATTTGTTCTTCATGTGATGTGTCAATTTTTTCCGTTTCTATTGCAATGATAATAATTATCATTGAGATGTCCTAGGCTAGAAATATGGCTAAAGTACTCCTAAAGCTTGGCCAGCTCTCTTCCTCGAGCTAGCTCTTGGGGTTAAGATAGGTACTTTGGTGTAGTTCATTTCTAATATGGTATTAGAGTATCTAGTCTTGATGTTTGACTACCTGCAGATGGTCTACTGTTACAAATTTCATGTTGTAGATGTCTAGTCCTCAATGTGGGAGGGGGAGGGGGGGGTGTTTGACTTAGATGTCTGTTTAGAAATATAACAAAAAATGATTTTGGCTTAGAGCTTTTGAGGTTAAGTTAGGCTTTATTTTTTTTCTAATAATTATGATAGGATTTTTTTTGGTTTTCTCATGACCGTCAAATTTCAATATGCTCAGGATTACATTTTCATGCTTCTATTCTCATGTTTTGCATTGGCTGTTATTATCCAATATATGCAGGCTGATGAAAATTTGCGTTTAGAACTAGAAGAAGATGTTAAAGAGGAATGTGTAAAGCTTGGTCCTGTGGACTCAGTCAAGGTAGTTGATCTGTATGCTTGAAAAGATGAATAGAATTGGTACTCTTTGTTTTTCATTTGTTGTCTCTCTTATAAATACTTTGTTACCAGTTAAATCAAGCTGAGTATAAATATATGTTTGTTTTATCGTTACTGTCAATGCATAGATGTCTAAAATTAAAATTGTGTTATTTTTTATATAAATGTAGTTTTTATACTCATTATACTAATGGTAGGGTACTGAGGGGATGTAACACAAATGATTGAAGCTGGGTGGATGAATGAATAAGTGCTTCAAGTGTAATTTAGGGAGGCAAGTTGCCTATCAAATTCTTAGGAAAATTGTACTGGATAGCTATATAAGTAGCAATTCTCTATTGCAGTAGATGTTAGACTGTAAAATGCCAACAAGAGCTTAAAAAGACTAGGAGACTTCTCCACTAACCTTCCATATGTTTGGCTTCCCTCATCCTTCATTGCCCCCCCTCCTCCCTTTTTCCTTGTAACCTGCAGACATACCCATGGCACAATAGTGGGGTGATTGTGTCAGCCAGTCAGGCACTCACATTTTCCACCTTGACACACTTCCAGTGCTTTTTGTGTTTTGGGTTATTAGATTGCATAATTGAATTAGGGAGTAACCCATGTATTGGTCAGCAATACCCGAAAAGTGTTGGAATAGCAGCAATTGTATTCTTCTGGCAATTTTGGTGATTCTTTCTGCAGAAACATTGAAACGTATTGCAGGTGGACTAGTTGGGCCTACATTAACTGAAGTAGAATTTGCTTATTTTTGGCCTTTTATCCAAACAGTATATATTTGCTGAAATTACTCTTCTGAATTTATTTCAGACCAACTACAACCATTCAGCTCTTGCCCATTTTGTTTGGTTTGAGTTGTATCAATACCCTTAGTGATAGATCTTAAGTAGTTTTAGGAAGAAGTAAACAAATTGATTAGAAAAACAGGTGAATGTGACAGAAAATTACCCACAAGCTTTAAGTGCAGAGGTTAGGGGCCTCTACAATGTCAAGGGTTTGAGCCTTCAGCAAGGAACTTGTGAGGGGGGACAGCCTCAATATGCTGAGCAAAGACTTGTTTCATATTTGAAGGGTGAGAGAAAACCTCTTAAGATGACAAAGAAAAGGTGATAGAAATTCTGTTGAAAAACAATGAAAGAATAAAATCATACAAATACAATCAGTTAAATTGATAGCAGATTAATGCTGAGAAAAAATGTTTTTATGTTATCATTGTATAAAAAAATTCATGAAATAAGTCAAGGATAGAAGAAATATATCACCAAGAAAATTAATCAATGAAATGATTTCATGTTTTCATTGTGGATTTTAGGGCTGCCAGTCTACCACATCTTTTTTTGGTTGTGTACTTAAAATGATATGATTTTTGGCTGCTTATCATACTTTATCTTTATCATTTCTATTTTATCTAAATTAATAATTAATGATTAAGTATGTTATATGGTCATTTAATATTGCATAGAGAGATCTAGTTATTCTTTATTTTATATAATTATTAATTCTCTTCCTAATTTTAGCACCTTAGTTCGCTCTGTGGGAGTACTTTTTATGTGCCTCTTGCCTCAAGGCACTAAGGGAGTCTAGCAGCTCAGTGAGAGTGACACCTCATGCCTTTAACTATCTTGCACTAAATTAAATATTCATAAATAAATATTTTGGTGCTTTAAAGATTATGGTTGTTACTGTAATTAATCAATGCAATTTGATTCTGTGCAATCTGTATGCATAAAATGCTACAAACTTACAGTAGTATTGTCATTTACTCATTTTGTTCTAGTGTGACAGGTAAAAATAAGATCTTTCTTCATAAAACAAAATACATTTTTTATTTGATGCTGTATAAAATAACTATACTTACACAATTACACAAAACTGAGTTTGATTTGGCAACTTCATTTTGAAGTCCTACTTCTACCTGAAGGCAGGTGAAGAATTTAAGTTCCAGAATTTGTCTTGTCAATCCGTGTTGTTTGACAAGTCCAAGCGAACAAATTTTTTGACCTTCCTGTTTGTCACTTTACATGTGGTGTTCAAGCTCTGTTTGTATGGTTTTCTGTCTTTTCTTGGTCCTTTGGTGATGGATATATGACATTCTTGGTTCAGGAGCTGAATTTGTTTTGGTTCCATTTTTAGCTAAGAACAATCTTGTCTCTTACACTCTAAATGTTTATTGTACTTTCTTTTGCCTGCATTAGCCTTCTGCTATGTGTCGGGAAACTAGAAGGGAGGTTTGGATAATTTTCCAAGCCTTGCTGGTGTCCATGTAAGTATAATGCATGGATACTCCTAAATAGTTTCAGTTACTGAGTAGGTATCTGATAGTGGTGTTATTACTCATAACCCTGTTCATGCAACCTCTTGTATTTATGTTATTAAATTTTGTCTCTGCTTTGCTTGATCCATGCTGTTTTTCCTGCAGGTATGTGAGAATCATCCTCAGGGTGTTGTTTTGGTAAAATTCAAGGATAGGAAGGATGCTCAGAAGTGCATAGAATTGATGAATGGAAGATGGTAATTATATCGTTTTATCCTTTTTCATATGCAATTTATGCATAATCTTCGTGCTGTGACAACTTACTTTGTTGTATTAAGCAGCATAGTCCACCTAGGCATGATGACTTTTGTAGTTGACCATCTCTAATTCTGTTTTTAGACGCACATCAACTAGAAAATGTACTCTACTAAAATAGTTGAAAACATCCAGCATTGCAGGCACAGAATCTGTGGTGGTTATAAAAAAGATCATATATTTGGTTTAATTATATGATTCAATTAAATCTTTTTGTTAAATTTAGAAACAATTAAAACCGACTTATTGATAGGAATATTTTAAATAAAAGTTCCCCAAATTTTGAAAAATTACCTAGTAATATATAGGAGTCTTGAATTCCTCAGAGATGCTAGTAGTTTTAACCATTGAAATTTGAGCAATGCACCTCCATCCCTTTAGTCTTGCATCGAAGCCTTAAGATGTCCACACTCCTTGTATATATACTGAAATATCACGGCAAGATACTTGAATGGAAGTACCCCCAAAAAAAGCAGTATATTTGTGTTGAAAATAAACTCTATTATGACTGAAAGTCTTGTGCTGAAACAAATCTTTTTCAGGCGTAGGTAGATAATATGACTTTGATACCATGTTAAATACAATTTGATATAAATTATGCATTGTGTGCACAAACTGTGTCTTATTTATGCAATGAGTGCATTAAGTATAAGTACAAATCAAGTATTAAATACAGTTCTCATTGACAACTATTAACTAGTCTAATAGGGACTAATATTCTAACGTGTAAAATGTTGTAACAAATCCAGACTTCTTTTCTAACACATTCAAAATTGCTAGAAACTCAGCACAGATAATCGACCGTCAGAACAAACTGATTAACCTTAGCCAACTCAAGATATGCAAAATCTGCAGGCCTTTTTTGAGGGAAATAATTAATGTATTGAAAATTTTCACCAATGAGTGGTGAGTTGCCGGTGGTAGTTTTTATTTTTTAACACCTGTATCTTATGAGACATGGTCTAGCGTCAGGTATTAATCAAGGATGGTGAGGGATAATATATTGAAACATTTTCGTTGTGGGTAGGCATAGAGATTATTTTCTGAGCTTCATCTTTTTCTTTTGGTATATTGTCTGAACTCCTTTTACTGTCGTTATGGTGTTAAAATAAAAATCGGGATTTAAAACATGATGAAAATGTTAAATAATGGCTTCATTTTTGCAATTGCTTTTACCTTTTTCTCTTTACCCTTTTTTTCCCTTTTGTATCTTCTTTTACTTTTGCCTGCAGATATCAACTGTGGTCATACTTTTCCTCGTTTATTTTATCAGGTTTGGTGGTAGACAGATACATGCCAGTGAAGATGATGGTTTAGTTAACCATGTCTTAGTACGAGATCTGGAAGGAGATGCCATTCGACTGGAGCAGTTTGGTACTGAACTTGAAGGTGAATGATAACAATGAGAATGTTGTCACACCAGATTCACAGTTCCCAATAAGTCTGGACCTATGAATATTTCAAGATGGCTGAAGCTTTTGGATTACAGGTCATCGCTTTCCTCGGTTTTGCAATGATATATTAGTTTTCCTTATGTAAAATTGGGAAAAACAGAAAGAAAATAGAGGAGGAAAGAAGTTACTATTTTGGCTAGCTCATCTTACATGGAAAATTGTAATATACCCTGCGCGCGGCATCCAGTTATTCCAGGTCGTACAGAAAGTGACACATGACAATACACTTAAATTTTTAACTGTTAGATTAATATTAAGTTATTTTAACCATTGGGAATAAGACTCTTGGGTACGTTAAGAATCGTCTCATTATGTATGTAAGGATTACATGTGAAGAAGAATTGTTCCATCATATATACTTGACGAAAAAAAAATAGCAGCTACCATGAGGCATCGAACTTTTGGGGACGGTCACCAGTGACAGGTTTGTATTAATTTGATGATAGATGTGCATTTTTACAAAAGTTTGAATGACAATTATTAAATCAGGAGAGAAAATTATTAAATTAAGAGTGAGATTTAAATGCTTTTTTAATAAAAAAAAATTAGCTAATAACCAATTTATGATAAAAAGAATATATTAAAAATTGTATTAATATTTTTTAATATTTTTATTTTTAAATTAATGACACAGCTGCCAAACTTATGTTGTTCCATTATCGTTGTATTCTGCGTTTCCATCTAATCGTTGGTGTGATGGGAAGCTCGACACTCGTCTGGACCTCCCAAAAATCGACCTGCTATACTAGATTGCAAGAAATTTGAGCAGCACCTTGGTGATGGGAGAACAGACGCAAGACTCTGAACAGTGAATTGATATCCTAAACAAATATGGGCACACGGATGAGACTGAGCTCAACCAAACTCCAAGAAACAATTGCATTTTGGAATGTCTTAATACTTATACCCTTGTTATTTGGCCATCTGCTAACCATACACGATTCTCTAAAGCTTAGTTTGCATGATGGAACGGGATTTACTTAAATTGGCTGCAATCAAAATTATATTTATCTCAATATTTGACCAAAATTAAAACGAAACAACCAAGGCTTTCCCTATAAATTCAAGGACTTCTGACAAAATTTATATTTACGAGTTTAATATGAATTTATCTTTTTACTTTCTAAATGCAAAATCATTTATCACAATTTTATATAGGATTATCTAGGGCACAGGCTCCCATCTACTGGGCTTTAGGGATGTAGATGTATACAGCCTTACAATCAAGTAATTCTAATATTTTTACTGTCAATAAATAATATAACCAATTCATTAAATCTATCTTGTAACAAAATAACATAAAATAAAAGATACTCAATATAGAAAAAAGTACATATTTTATAAAAAAAAATCATAAAAATTCTTTTGTTCAAGAGTGACTACTCATTTATAATATATGAGTGGATTAATTATGTTGCACATTATCCAACCTTTTTATAATGCTACACAACCTAGCTTCTACAATACTGCATGTTATTTGTATCAAATACATTTTACATGAAATTTCCATTTACATATGTTGGCATTATTTAAAAACTGTAACTTGGACTTTAATTAACTAATTTTTTTAAGGATTCATAAGAAAATTTTAAAACAGAGAAATCAACTTTTAAAAAAATCAAACATGTCTCATTAAAAAAAATTCAAAGAAAATAAGAAGAATACCAATAACACTTTTAAATATTTTAAATAAAATTTTATTTATCAATTAAAATTTACGTGAATCATGTTAAATAACAAAAGAGAATATTAAAAGTAGTATCTCAAAAAAAAAAAATCACTCCAATGTCTTAATTCAAAACTTTCACTTTTAAATGCATGACTGTTTTCTGTTATATTTTTTTACCACTTATGACATGCATGATATTACTCTTATTTAACATTTATTTTATATTTAATTTTTTTAAAGCTATTACTTACTTTTAAATCTTTATTCAACATATATTTTCTTTAATTCTAATATTTGTCAAATTAATTATTTATAATTTTATTTTATATTAAAATTGTCTCAAATATTAGTTATTTATACTTTTAAATTTTAAAAAAATTCTCTTAAATTTAAAATATTTATATTCTTAAAATTTCACTTCATATAAAATATACTCATATAATACATGAAATACTTTCTTAATTCTTATACATGCATAACTTACTCAGGAAAACAAAAATACACCTTAAAAAACACATGTCAACTGGTTTCTAAAAATATATGTGTAATTTACTTTAAAAAGAAGAAAAAAAAAAAAAAAAAAAAAAAGCGATATAGAGAAATTACTAGTTTCACCAAAATAACCCGCAGACGCAGACGTTGAAAAACAGACCCATCAGCTTCCGCCCCAAGAACGGTAGATCCTTCTCGTCAGCTCCAAATCACGTCCCATTTTTCCTTCTCCTTCTGGTATTCCTCTTCAATCGCGCTTTTTTTATTACGTTTTATCAACTTCCCACGTAAATAATCGCTTATTTTCGTCGTAAATTTTCCTTTTCTTTTTCTTTATTACGTGTTTTAACCTCAAATTTGATTGATTAACGTATATGGTGAAATTTCAGTTTACATTGCGAACTTGTCTGAACTGGATTCAGCTTTCTATATGTTTCACCTTTTATTATTATTGTTGTTGTTATTATGATTACGATTATTTGTTTTGTACTTTGCCTAACTTGTTAATGTAATGTAATAGTTGAATGTTGGTGCTTTTCATCTACGTCTCTATATGTGACTGTTTGGGTAAATAGAGTGTGGCCGTGACATCTTCTTCAGTTTGGAACGGCTCCAATTAGCAAGATCACAAGGTTTGGAATTCGTGAGCACTTTACGTGTCATGTCATTGTTACTAACTCATTTTTAATTTAAATTAAAGTAATAATATCATTATGAATGGTTTTACCTAAACCTATAGCTTGTAGTTTATTTTTTTGCTTTGAGTAGTGCTACACGACTAGATATGATTAGCCGGCGTTTTGAGACTAGTTAGATTCAAGGGTTGTTGTTGGGACCACTCATTCATTGAAAAGTTGATTAGTGTTTTGGAGAAAGATATTAGAAAAAGATAAGTGATGATTAAGAATATATACTCCAATTATTAAAGTTAATATCTCTGTCTGAATTTGGAAGTGATTGTCCTTCGTGTTCTTGATTTATGACCTGCTAGTGTGTTTGGATTTTATTTTCTGTATAGTCTATGGACATGGAAATAATGAAAATTAGACTGTTGATTTTGATATTGTGAGATTAGGACTTGTTTTGGAAAAGGTTATTGTTGGTGCTTTTGAGAGTGATGCAGTTCTCTGCATTTTCATCAAGTGTTCAAAGATTCCAGAGGAGTAGTAGTTAGTTAGTTGGTGGTGGTTTGTCTCAACATGTAATGTGAGGTCACTTTATTTTGGAAAATAATTTTAAAGTTGTTGTAAATGGTGGTTACATCCTTTATGCTCCATAAAGCTACCGCAGCCTTTAAACATTAGTATAATTGTTTGAAAAGTGACCATATTTGAGGATAGGAATTGGTCATCAGACTCAGTACAACAACAACTGCCATCCTTTATCCCATTAGATGATAATGTACATAAATCAAACAATGCCTTAAAGATAATCTTAAAGGATTCTTGAAATCATCTTGCCTTTGGTTATAGACATTGGTCTTACCCTTGTTATCATGTAAATAAATCACCTTGTTTCTTAGTAAAAATTTTGTAATTCTTTTTTACTTATTACCAGGTTTGAGATTATAAAGACCGATTTGAGGGGTAAGCTGGAGTTGAAGGTGAGGCGAAAACAAGGAGAGGAGGAGTTTGAGGTATTTATATTTCTTAACCCTCCTGCTGAATTTTCTGTCTAGATATCTATAAAATAAGTATTCCAAATGATTTAGAACACAATTTGGAGTCTTACCTCGAAAATTTTAAAACTCACTCACATAACTTTTTCCAACAATTATTTTCTGTTGTCAAATAAGTTCCCCTCTAGAAAAATGGTTTTGTTTAGAAAGTTTATTATCTTTTTCCTTTTACTTCCCTTCCATTGCATTAAACTCGCTATTTTACCAATCTAAGTTTCAACCATCAAGCCAAAATTACCATCAACCTCAATTTGAACCCTCTGTTTACACTAATATTGTTAACAGATTTATCACTCCATACCTTGATTTTTGTTATGCCAGGAGGTTTAGCACTTTGGCATTTGTTTTTAAATAAGCTATGAAGCAAACATAATATAAATAAAACCTTTTATCAGGGTTTAATCAAGGCTAAATGCAAAGTGGTGTAATCAATTTTGCTGTGGGGTGTTCAATGAATTTAGTTGGAAGTTTTCTGGTTCTTCTGATCAATCATTCTCCTTTCCTAAGAAGTTAATACTGGTGGTCTTCATTTTTCATGTTTCTCTAGTTTCCCTTCTCACGTGCCAATCCCTTCTCAAAATTTTTCTGGAACTTATCCATATGCCAAGGAGAAAAAGGATAGCACTAAAAGGAACCATATTCTTCTCCAGAGTATAATTCCTTTAAGTTTAGTGTCTGGTTGTTATAGCTTAATAAAGTGATTTTAAGATTGTGTAAAAGGTTATTTTTTGGGAGACTTTATGTAAAGAGTAGAAGCTACTTACTTTGGGTTACAATTATAAAATGTACTTATTTTTGTAAACTGCTCCTACCAGATTTTAGGATAGTTTTCTCTACAAAAATTTATGTCTCATCAATCAGTGGTGATTATTTTGAAAGGTTACTCCTATGTTATGATCTAATCCCTTAGATCTTGTTAAAGGACACTGAGATGTGAAACCTGGTTGTAAAGGCCAGATTTTTTACTTCTTTTGTGTCCTATTTTGTTTGGAAATTATGGGCTTGTTAGAGAGAACCCAAGGATCTCCATGAGTAAAATGTAATCAAGAACTTTCTGAAAATATTTGCATAATAATCTTTTCAGTTTTCTTCAAACTAGTTAATGTAGTTACAAAAAATAACTGCTCTATACTGTCCAACTAAGAAATTGCAGTTATAGAAAACTGCCGGTCCTAAGATATAGCAGTTACAGAGTTATTCAAATGTAAGAAACTGCCATACTAACAGGTAACAGGATCAGTCTAATTCTAATGCACTAAATTATTTATTATCTAAGCATAGCATTATCTATGCATAATAATTGACAATAGGTTTTTCAATTCTTCCTTTGCCTTTGCTGATAAAATTTACCGAATGACATTACTTCAGCATCCAAGTTTGATTGATCACAGACCATAACATCTTGTCAGCTTCTAAAAAAAACCTGAAATTTTTTTTTTAGACTCTGATTTAAAAAAAAATCTTATCCAAAAAAGAAAACCCCAAATATGGCTACAAAATATAATTGCTCTATACAGTCCATCTAAGAAGTAGCATTTATAGAAAACTGCCCATCCTAAGAAATAGCAGTTACAGAATTATTCAAACATGAGAAACTGTCATACTAAAAGGCAACAGGACCAGTCTAATACGTAATTTGTATGGTGCCTTGAAGATTAAGAAGGTATTCTATGCCCTTCTTTTTTGGAATAATCATAACCATTAATATTATATTAAATATATCTAATAGATAGTGGGGGTTAGTGGTTTATCTTAGAAAGATATAAATGTCTTTTACTTTTTAAGATATTTGAACAATCATAACCGTCAATTTAAGAAGGGTATAAGATGCTCTTTCAAGTTCATGGGTACGATAACAAGCACCAATTATTTATTATCTAAGCATAGAATTATCTATGCATAATAGTTGACAATTGTTCCTTCAATTCTTCCCTTGCCTTCACTGATAAACTTTACCAAAAAGCACCATGTTGGCATCCAAGTTTGATTGATCAGAAGACCATAACATCTTGTCAGCTTCTAAAAGAAAAACCTGAGAAAAGATTCTTTTATAGATTCTGATTTTTTAAAAAATCTTAAACAATTCAAAATACCTGAATTTTTTTTTTTTCAAAATAAGGATTCTTTTTAATAATATGAACAGACACACAAATGAATTTTAAAGTTTTTTATACTTCTCTCTGTTAAACTTCTTTCATCACAAAGAAAGTAAGAGGACACAAAATCCTCGGGTTCTGTTGGTCGAGGGCTTGGGGATGAGGACTCTGATACTGTAAGAGGACACAAACTTCTTTCATCACATTTTTAGTACCCGAGGATGAGGGCTCTGATATTGTAAAGTTATCCACCGCCTGTCCACTTTGGTTAAATTTCTAACTCTGTAGTCTATTGGTATTAGGACAAGTGTTACCATTTATGTCATCAAATTTCATGTATCTTTGGGCAAGTTGATCATTTTGACTTGATTCTCACTTGTAGAATTTTTTTTCTCGAGAAACCGTTATGGAAAAAGAACTGGATATATTTTACCTTTAGGAATAACCTCTAGCTTTGAATAGAGGTATACAAGTCAGTAAATTAATATAAATACTTCATTGACCGTCCTGTGCATTGGAAATTGATGCTTTCAGGTACTCGACGAAGGTTTGGTTTGTTTTATTTTACAGGCTTGATGCCAATGGTGGATACTGTTCTATATGCTAGAAACAGTCAACAGTCACTTCATAAGGTAGAGATACCATGTGTCTTATGATTCTTGTGGAACTACAATTTGTGTCACTAATATTCCTTTCCTATCTTCCAGAATTCTTTGTTATCTGTTGTTTTTGTGTTTCTGATCCCTCTTCTCATCTTAGGTGACATTCTAGTATTGGAAAGGGCCACAGTGCATGATATGATTATTTGTTGTTGATTTGTTTCTACACACTGGCAATCCTTAGGTCTGACAGATGGCTTTTTATAATGAAGAAGAGAAGACTGAGGACTACCTTTTCAAGATTGTTTTAGTTGGTGATTCTGCTGTTGGGAAATCAAATTTACTTGCACGATTTGCCAGGGATGAGTTTTATCCTAATTCAAAGTCAACTATAGGAGTGGAGTTCCAAACTCAAAAGATGGATATCAATGGAAAGGAAGTTAAAGCACAGATATGGGACACAGCTGGGCAGGAGAGGTTCAGAGCTGTTACATCTGCATATTATAGGGGTGCAGTTGGAGCTCTTTTGGTGTATGACATCAGCAGACGCCAAACATTTGATAGCATTGGACGTTGGCTTAATGAACTTCACAGTAAGAATTACAATTATGCTTGAACACTTTACCATCTTATGACTTGAAATTTTTCTCATTCTTATTTTCTCTGTGAGTTTACTGATTCAGGAAATTGTTAACTTATCCGTCAATTTGGTATATTGGTGCTTAATATGGTCCTATATGCAAATAAACAAGATTATAGTCTTTATTCTCTCTCTTGAGGTGATTTTGTTTATATTCATGAAACAATATCCTATTGGAGGGGGTATCATCCGAAGCTAAATTCTGAATTGCACAATGATTTTAGTTTTTCTTTTTCGTTTTTTTCTTTAGACATTTTTGAGTCTTCCTGTTGGTCTTGTACACACACACATGCCTGCATAAGTTTATACCATGTAAAAAACTTGGTTTAATGTTAAAGTGACTATGGTTTTTAGTCATTAGCATATTGATGGGCCACGGCTCTTTTCCTGCTTCAAAAACATGACATATTTTGGTTTTCAATGTGATCAAACGAGGATTAAGTGGAGTGGTTTATCATTTTACAGCTCACTCTGACATGAACGTTGTCACAATACTTGTTGGGAACAAGTCAGATCTTAAGGATGCAAGGGAGGTGTCTACTGCGGAAGGCAAGACCTTAGCTGAGGCACAGGGTTTGTTCTTCATGGAGACATCAGCTCTTGATTCATCAAATGTAGCAGCTGCTTTTGAAACAGTTGTAAAGGAGATCTACAACATCTTAAGTCGGAAGGTTATGATGTCTCATGAGCTCAGCAAGCAGGATACTACGCGAATTGAGAATGGAAAGACTGTTGTACTTCAAGGTGAAGGGGACCGAGAGGCCGAAGTGGAGTCAAAAAAGGGTGGTTGTTGTTCGTCTTAGGTTTTGATAATATGTTGGCTCCAAAACTCAGTTTTTATTATAATTATTCCACCAATCCTGAAAGTGTCACTCAGATATTCAAGATTTGTCGTTAAATGTTCACTGGGAGATTTTGGTGTAGAAATTGTCATTGCGTTGGCAGAACTAAAGAAATGAACAAAAAAAAGGCAGTGCATTCGATTCGATATGAGATCACCCTGAAAAAAGAAATTATAGATAGGAAAAGTGTAGTTACTCAGAATGAGACAATACCAAAATGTCTAATGTCCTTTGTCGTCTTATATATGCATACAAAAGCATACAAAAATTATTCAGACATTTATCTATATACTATATTTTAGTGTAGAACTTTTAAAGCATCTGTTTAAAACGTTTATTTACAATCTATTTCATTAATGATTATTGCAATAACTACATTTATAACTCATACATTTTGGACAGCTCAGATTTAAACTTGTGATATAATGCAAATTATAAATTTCGAAAAATCTTCAATAACAAAGCATTCCGTATTTGGCTAAGGTCATATTCAACAGGAAGACGAGCAACAAAATGGACATCCGTTATACAAAATTCCAGAGCAAATAATGAGATAGTAGACTATCAAAATATTTGTTGGGAGCAATCATTGTCCAAAAGACACTCAACTATAGCAGCTTTAGCTGCAGTAACAACAGGTTACCGGATATTCCTTTTCAATTGGAGCTTGTGTTGTTTGGTATGTTACATAGTCATTTACAGAATAAATTGGGCTCGTTTCTGAATAAATTAAACAATGGATCAAGTAAAAGCTGTCTCGCTACTAAAAGCCTTGCATTTGCTTTCTGTACAGTTCAATGGGCTCGATGAATACAAGGTGGACCACCAGCTCCCTATGGAAAAAAAGCCATTACCAAACATATTTTGATCTTGCCCGTTACAAGACCATCTATCAAATTCTAGTTCTTCCACCAAAAATAAAATATAATAGTTACAACTTACAATCACTCACATTAACTGTTGATTTAAGGGCTATGCAATTTCTGTAGCTGGTCAACCACATCATAGGAACTGCTGAACCGTTGGAAATCAGATCGGTGTAGTACAGTTCCTTGAACATGCCTGGAGCCATCTGGTTGAGGGTCAATCATTTGGTTTTTCTTCGATGAATAACAGTGGTGAACCCGGACTCGGTGATTTCTTGGCTGGATAGTGTAATTGCCATGCACCTTAACAACCAAAATAGCTTCCTTGTCTCTGGAGTCCTCACACCAAGAATTTTGTACCACACCATCAACAAACTCTTCCAGAGTCTGAAATTCCTCATGATGCATTGATACCTCAACAATTTGATCTGGTCTTATTATGCCAGTTGCAGGAATTACCTGAATCATAAAATCTACAACTAATTGGTGCATTGCAAAGGAGAGATGCCTTATCTGAAGTGAAAATAGTATAATGTTGATCCACATAATTTGACTCTAGGACAACTTTTTTGCACAAAAATCAATAGTCAGCCATATTTTTCCTAGGGGAGATTTTGGTTATCTTTCTCAAGGATTTAAATTGTAGCACACACTGATTGAAAATTGAATATTGAATTGACCCACAGTGGCCGCAATGTGACTGGGACTCTCTGACAATTGCAATTTAAAACCTTGATCTTTCACACAGACTTTACGGAAAAAAACAACAGTCCACGTGTGACAAAAAAATACTATATAATTTCTTAGGTTAGGGTAAAATGATTAATCTCACAATCTTGGTGCATTATTGTGTCTACATAGTAGTTTAGAAAGGAGTGACTAATGCATTCCTATATTACATAGAATAATTAGGTTGATGTTTCAGCTCAATATAATAAAATTCATAACTAGCAACAGCTATAAAAGAACATTTTCAATATGACCAAACTTGGGTTGGTATTACTTCTCTAACTAAGAAGAATGCACAACTGAGAAAAAAATATATTCAATATAAGTGTATATATATAATGGCTAAAACATTTACTTCTACTTTCGTTTGAAGATACCACAATTTCCAAATGAATTTTTGGATCAAATGTCTAGAACACACTTCTGGAATTCTTTAGCAGAAATCATCCATAACTTTCCTTGAGATGAAATCGCAATTAAGTTAAATCAGAAATTTAATCTCCATAATTGGTATTATTTTTTGTTTTAATTCCTATATGAAAAAACAAAACATTTTGCTCTTTACACAAAAAATTGATTACAAATTGGTCCACATCCATAATTGAAATTATAATGGCGTTAAAGAGTTTTTTCCATGTAGGGACCAAATGAAAAACAATGTATAAGTGCAAGGACTAAAATATAGTTTTTTTTTTGGGGCAAGAACTAAAGTGAAACAGAGAATATTTTCATGTCCGGAATAAAATGAAAAATGGTTTTAAATATACAAAACCAATCTAATACCGCTATAACTTTGGCAAATGGCAAGGATCAATTCATAAACATTTTGTCATGTAAAAACCAAAATGTAGAACTTTCACATAAAGACCAAAACGAAGAATGATGTAAATTGTTGGAACCAAATTTTCAATAACTTAACTATTATCTTCTCACTCAATTATTTAATACAACAATCAAGTCTTAATCTTAATAGTAAATATAATGATCAATAAATGTCATTGATCTTTATAAAAAAAAATAATTTAAGTAAGCTATTTAAAGCAAAGTCTTTTAGTGATATCACCTAAAGCTCTCTTAGCTTAGGTCGTCTGCCTCTAACTCTTTTAATCAAACTATCTTCCATTTGAACCAATTTTCACACTAAAGCCTTTGCTGGTCTTCTCACATACAAAGCTTTTTTTCATCTTCTCCCAGATATATTTGTTTCTAATCTTTTCTTTTTCTTATATGTACACTCACCCTCCTTAGTGTTCTTATCTCCACTAAACTTTTTTTGTTCTTGCTGGAAGTTGGAACTTCACAATCAAACATTTTCTACCAAAGAACTTTGGTGATCATATAGTCATATGATAAAAGTTTCCTTCAAAAATTGGGCCTGAAGTATTTCACTAATTCATTCACTATCCTATGTGTGACATCCTCCTTAATCTTCCATCACTTTTTAAGATAGATCTCTGTAAATTGGGCACTTTTCCATCAAACCTCAAAAGGTATATAGCTGCACGTCCTTCACGGTCAACCTTTCTAACATAACTCCAAATTGGTTCTCAAATATGTAGGTCTCTCATCTTAATCTACTCTCAATAATTAATAAAAATACCATATTGCATACCTTTCCAACGTTAAAACAGATAAAATTTTGAATAATTTAGTTAGTATTTAAATTTTATCAACATAACTGAAATTTTAAATATCTAAATACAACTCATATATTAAATCATATATTTATCCTTCAGATATGGCAAAATGCATGGTAGTCAAACCCCCCCCCCCCACACACACACACAGAAATGCACTAAAAGAAATAAAGAAATTACTAAAAGAATTCTTTTATAACCATAAATATTGAATAAAAAAGAAAATTATTTTAAATAAAGAATATCACCTCAAGCCACCTTGGGAAGCCAAAGGAACCTCTCAACTGATGGTTGGTAGCCTTCTGATCCACTGTAACAGTAGACTGACCTTCACAAATTATTTCAAACAAAGCATTGTCTTCTGCACATTTATTGGTAATACGCAAAATTAATGTATCCTGGTTTTGAAGAATTATGTTGTTTGTACTAATGATAGTTTCAGGAATCTTGCATAATTCTTTCAGAAGACATTTAATTTTCTCATTTGATTGGAGAATCTCTCCAAACTCCTGTCTGCGGATTGATTCATCTACTCTAGCAATATCTGTAGAAAATATGCAGCGTACAGGCTTGTGGTCACTATCTGTGACATCCATACAGGCTTCGTACCTATTGAAGGGGAGATGACATTAATTAAAAAGAAAATAAAGAAAAAGACAGTGAATCCATGCATCTAATTTACCTAGCAAAGGTTTTATTATCTTGACACTAATGTTTACAAGAATAAAAAAATATCCTAATTACCTACCATAAATACAAGATATGGTTAGTGTATGGACATTAAATACATATCTTCTAACACTTCCTCTTAAATTGAAGCATATAGATCATATGCACCAAACTTAGTATTGATATAACGGATAGATCTCTCAACTACCTAAGTGAAAACATCTAGATAAGGCTTTCTCTAATAAAATAAAAATCAATTTTAATATGTTTAATCTTCTCATGAGACATGGTATTGGAGGCAATATGCAATGCAGCTTGATTATCACAAATTAAGTGTTATTTGCATAATCTCACCAAAGTAGAGATGAAACTAATATCCATAGTTGAAACACAATTACCCAGGGAAAGAAAAACACTGGTTGGCAGTGGCCAGTGGATCCACAAGGCATACATGGAATAGGATTGTCACTCATCAAGCTTTAGATAACATGTTGAGGAAGAGGAAAATGAGAGAGAAACAATTGGATCCATGTGTCTAAATTACAAAAAGTAATACTTACAAGAATCAATAAATATCCCAAGTAGTATTTAACACAATTACAAGATATGGTTATCTATTTACATTATTTATGTATCTCCCAACAATAATCATTTTCAATGTCATCCCTGACATCTGTTGCTCTTAAGACACTGTAAGATTAGCATGAAAGTATTGTGTAGGGGGCAATCATGATGCTGACTCATTTTAGCAAATGATTGTCACATATAAAGAGAAAAATTATAATCTTTCTAATCCCTATAAATGATACCTTTAATTGGTCCTCACAATTTGTTATGCTATGAAACAAAGAATAGTAACAACAGCACACAATTAATAGAATTGGGTTTGTCCAATTTGGGCTTTAGGTCTAACTCATTCCCCAAAGCTAGCTCATAAGGTCCTTTAGCCTCTATAAACTCTTATTTAGTCATATCTATAGTAGATATAAGATTTCAACACCCTCTCCCCCCATGATTAAGATTGGACGTGGAAATTGTAGGATTGGTTTTTTTTTAATATAGCACTGGATAAGCCATAGGACCAGGTAAGTTACAGTGGAAAATCCACAAGGCCAGGTTTATTGTAGTACTGAAAAAAATTGTGGGACAATGCTTTTTTGTTTTCAACCAAGGATGGCCCAATATCAAATTTACAACCAGCTCTGATACTATGTTAAATTTGGACTTTAGAGCTTAACTCAACCCTAAAATCTAGTTCATAAGGTGAGGATTGTTTGAGCCTTTATAAATTCTTATTTAGCTATATATATAGTCAATGTGTGACTTCAACAGGATAAAAACAAAGAAAGAAATAGAAGAAAAAGATGAAGAGACAAAATGTATGTTATTCTCTAGTACAACTTAGTATTC